AATCAAACCCGCGACTCTCTGGTCTGCAGGCTGACACTCTAACTACTGAGCCAAATCGGCCAGGGCACGTATTAACCATTTCAAAGTATACAGCTCAGTGACCCTAATATATTCACATTGTAGTACAACTACCACCATCATCCGTCTTCAGAACTTTTTCATCTTCCCAAAACTAAAACTCCACATGCCTTGAAAAGTATCTCCCCATTTCCTCCCCAGTCCCTGGCAACTGCCATTCTATTTTCTGTCTATGAATTTACTCTAGGAACCTCATATAGGTGGAATCATAGGATATTTGTCCTTTCGTGGTTGGCTTATTCCACTGAGCATAATGTCCTCGAGGCTCCCCCAGGTTGTAGCATGTGTCAGCAGGTCCTTCCTTCCTACGGTTGAGTAAGGTTCCAGTGTGTGGGTTTCTGCATTTTCTGCATCCATTCAGGCATCAGTGACGCTGGGTGGTCTCCACCTTTGGGTACTGTGAGGAATGTCGAGGAGCACTGACATGCAAGTATCTGTTGAGTTCCTTGCATCTTTCCTTTGGATTTACCCCTATGAGTGGAATACTGGATCACATGGTGGTTCTATGTTTAATTTTTTGAGAAAAGTATTTATTCTTGTCCTATTGATTTTTTTCACTGGTGCCACTATAAAAATGTTCCACTTGGGGAGGGGGGGTGATGGGAAGAAAGCAGTTTTCTGACCACTGGGTCATCACTCCATTCAGCCACCGGAGAGTGTCATGGTGGGACAAAGAACATTCCCCTGCATCCTGATCACAGGTGTCACAGCCCTGAGAGAAAAGCCTCCTTGTGCTTCAGAGGGGCCAACGAGCCCTCAAGGATGCCCCCCTCACCTCTTCTCACCTCTCCTCCCTGGTGAGCTCTCTCCGCACACCAGGGAACTCCTTCCTGAAACCATTGCTGCCTTCCCAGGCTTCTTTCTCCAAGACACGCCCTCCTCTGGGACCCTCTGTCCCCTCTGTCTTTTCAAATCCCCGCCAGCTTCTTCCATGGCCCTTGCTGGCTTGTTCTGCCACAGGGCACACATACGGCCAGTCGCCAAAAAGGTATACTCAATACACCTGGCTCTCTTTAGTTTCAACATTCTCTTCCTGAAAGATTGGGTTCTTCTTGCAAAGAATTTCCCAGTCCGCACCACAGCAGCTGGTTCCCTCAAAGGCCTGAGATGGGCATTTCCCACTGCCTGTAGGACTTCATTACTGAGCCCTTAAAGTTGATATGCCCAAAGCAAACTCATCTTCCCTGTTTTACTTGCTTCCTCCTTTCTTCTTTGACCATTCTATTCACTTCAAGACCATCTCCCCAGCTGACTGGATCCAAAGCTTTCGGGGCCTCCTCTTCCCTTCTCTGTCCTGTGAGCCCTGACTTGTCTGCTCACTGCCATCTCGACTTCCAGTCTTTCCAGTCCTCCTGGCTAGATCTCTGCCCTCCTTCCAAGTGAACCACCTTGTTTCTTCAGAAAAAAAAAATGCAGCTGATCCAGCTTGGGAACTGTTTCCACAGCCTGTCAGAGTGTCTCCCTGCATGTCCCTTCCCTGGACCCCAGCTCCCTGCCAGCTGCAGGCCGAGCTCTGCACCCTGCAGCATCCGCCATGGCACCTGCGCCAGGCAGGTCTCCTTCCATGTCTGGGGAATGACTCGGTCAGTCTGTGCTCAGCGCCTGCCAGTCATTCCAGGGCTGGAATGTGGGGCTCCTGCCGGAATGCCGAAGGCTGGGGTGACTTTCTCAGAATGCATGCGAACAGCTGAGTGAAACGTCCTTGCTTTCTAAAGGATAGGCATTCTTCATGTTTCCAGAAGCCACCAAACTTGTCCCTTCATTTCTGAAGAAAGAGAAACTTGGGCTTTGCCCGGATGAAACGGTCCCTTCTTTTCTCAGGCGTGTTTACTTGGGAGAATGCAACTGTTGGACAGGGGCAGGTGCATCTACTGCGCTGGGGGTCAGCCTAATCATTTAGGAAAAGCGGTAATTTTTCTCCCCTATGATTTCCCAGCTGACGGAAGTACATGACAACCCAATGTGGGCTGCAAAGGCAAGGCATGGTGGCTGTCATCCAGGTGCCAAATTCTAGGGAACTTGAGGTGCACAGTAAACTTCAGATTTCGTTCCACTAAATAATCATTTAAAATATCACTGAATAAAGTCTGGAATTTAGTTAGCAGTAATGAGCCAACCTTGGTGTTTAGTTTTGACAAACGTGCGTGGTGATGCTAGAGACTACATTAGAGGAATGTAGGGTGAGGGGTGTATAGGAACAACTGCCTTGGAACTCTTTTCTAAAATTATTTCAAAATAAAAAGTTTATTTTACAGTGATTAGCCTTCCCTGCTTCCCAGAAGACTGAGCCCTTGACAAACACTGTCTCATTTAGTTCATGTATGTACTGTATGGGGTGGACCCTACACTCCTGTCTCACAGGTGGAGAAATGCACCCACAAGGGCCATGGTCAGCAAGACCCAGACCTCAGGTGGTGAACGCAGACCGCCATCCCAACTTGCTCAAGCCAACCCATGTTTCTCACGTCACAGTGTGACTACACACGCACATATAGGGTCTGTCAGTAACTCAGTGTGAACTCCCATCTTGGTAAACTTTCCTACGTCTGTTCTCCTCATTGAATATATCTACTCACAGATGCCCCTTCTGAGCAGGCATTAATGGCTCACATGTCTTCCAAGGCAGAGCTGGCCAGCGACACCCTGTGCCCGCAGTGGACATGGCACACATCCACGAGAGGGCCTGGTCCTCGTTCCTCTACATGCCTGCCCTCTCTGAGAGCCCAAGCCCCAGGAGGCAAAGCCCCATGCCCTGGCACCAGTGCCCACGCATGCCTTCATTCATTGTTTGTAGAAGAAAGAAGGAGTTACAATCAAAATGCAAATCAGAGGATCTTAGGATCCCAGGTATGTGGGGGGTACACTGTATCCGTTGTTCCAGAGAAAAGGTATTCATCACAGTTATCTCAGAAGCACTTTAAAAAACAAATTTCGGGATCTCACCCGTGTTCTGATTCAGGAGGGCTGGATCAAGCCTGGAAATCTGTATTTTTCCAAAATTCCCCCTTCTCCCAGCCCCAGGTGACCCTGATGCACTGCCAGGTTTGGGGTTTCATCCAATAAATACCTTCGGAAATAGCCTCTGCTCAGGAAACCCCAAGGTGCAGAAGCTGATTATCTCGCAAGGCAGCTTCTCATTGCACTGAGAGTTAGGAAATCCTTTCATACGTTCAGACACAATGTGCCTCTCGGGACATTCAATCCTTTGTTTAAATTTTGTCCTCGCAGACAGCTCAGGACATGTGTCCTTTCTTTTTCATAAGATCAACCTGAAGAGAGCCATCATATTTTCTAAAAGCTTCTCTTCTAGACCAAATACCCATAATCCCAACACTCATTTAAAAAAATAAAATAAAATGGATTCTCTTATTAAACCATGTCAAATGTGAACGTCGGAACAGGGTCGAGTATCATGAAGGAACTCTGAGCCTTGAATTTCAAGGGGCAATTGTTTTCCACGCTCTGGTCTCTATCTAATGCGGCAGTCTAGGGCGGAGGCTCTTGACCTTGGCTAACATGGGAAGCACCTTGGAAGCTTTAGTCACTACTGATGCTTAGGTCTCGCTTCTCAGAGATTCTGATGTAACTGGTCTGGGGTTCTGCCTGGATATCAAGATTCTTGAGTTTCCAGGGGAGTTTAAGGAGAAGCCAAGGTTAACAGCTACAGATACAGACACAGATTTACCTCCACGCCATCCTCGTGGCTAATACCAAACTCATTCACATTCAGCCTTTCTGCCTTGAGACCCTGTCAAGCTAGGTCTTCCTCATCATGCACTTGAAGAAGCGATTCACTGAACTTAAAGGCAGACTTCTACACATTCATTCCTGGTAAACGTCATCAACTTGGTTTGGGTCCACTGTCGCAGGGCTACTGAAGGTCATGTCAACTGAGCCACACATGGACGAGCTGCTATCCCTCTGGCCTGGGGTCTTTCATGGGCTTTCTGGTGTCTTCATGTGAAACAGGAATAAAATTATAGACCTTTGAAAGATACTGTCCTGAAAACCCTCTAGAAAACAAATGTCAGCAGCTGTTTCTGAAGCAATTGGACATTCTTTCATAGACAAGGTCCAGATGCTAAAGACTGATAGTCATGGATAAATCCAAGAGTACGGTATTTATTCCCAGAATGAAATACAGCTCTCCAAAGTTCTCTCTGGTGGCAAGAGCGGGCCGAAGCCACCATACTCGGCTGCAGTGACTGCCAGCTGCTGACACCTCCTATGTGCGACTCCCCAACATTACTTAAATCAACTGCCATGTGGACTAAACCGGCTAAAGTGACAACAGCTCGGGATGTCCTGAGCCCACAGTGTATACGGGTGTACCCCCTGAGCTCTCTCTGTCCTGGAACCTACGGTCAGTGACCACGTGTTTCAGCCCACAGGTCACTCTTACCTGTGTTTCTGCAGCTCATGATGTTACTCCCCTAATATCTGTAGCAATCTGCCACAGCCAGATGTGAAATGTTGGGATGGTGACAATTTACATTAAACATAACTTATCCTGGTAGGCTGGGACAGTTAAAAATTATTCTGATTCAAGGTCTCAACAAAAGTGGTTATTAATTCTTGCAGCATTAATAACTATAAAGCAAGCACCAGTGAAACATCACCAACACCCCTAAAAGTTCCTCCCAGAAGTAACTACTACCTTTATGTTGTGACATTCATTTCATTATCCTAAGGCAACATGCACTCTGAATAACTGCAGAGCAAGGGAAAACAGTTCAGGATGAGATCTGAATGCACGCAGAATCTCCCTGGACCTCGCTTGGAGGCTGGCTTGTCTTAAGCCAGCTTCTTGCTCTTTACCTTCTCCCATGGCTGATGCTTACAAGGGACGACATAAAAATAACATCGGAAAGAGAAAGAGAAGAGGAGTGGGTGATATAATTGCTAAACATAGCTGTACTCACCACAGGGCTAGTCGTTGCTCAATTTCCTTGAGAAAATTTGTATGAAATTTGTGCAAAGGTTCAAAGTTCGGGAATATGAGACTTTTCAATGTTTCGGGCATGGAGTCCTCCTTGCTCACTGTGCTCTGAAACCACTGGGCAGAAAAAGAGGACACACTTCGTGAGAGACATAACGATGAGCGAATGACCAATGTCTACAACTCAGAAGTAACACCGCAGCCGACTGTGCCCGCAGGACAAATGGCTTTGCGCCTGGGCGGCAGCATTTGGGGAGCACCAGGGGCTTTCAGGCCTCCCTGCTTGTCCCCTCCTTCATGAGAGGGGTTGAGAAGCACCTGTCTCTTTATTGCTGCTTCCTGAGATTGGTTACCAAAACACTGCTGAAGCAGAGACAGATCTCTGAAATGGGCAGCTCCTCAAATCAAAACCTACATTCTGGCCAACTCCCTGGGTAATCACTAATTTGCGGCACTGAACACCCCTGGGGTTCAGTTCTTTAGGAACTTCCATCTCCGCTCCCTTGTCAAAATGCTGAGCTCGAAGGTGGCTGAGCCAGAGATCAAGCCGCTGCCTTCATACAACGTCAGTCACCTTGCTGAGGCGAGACTGGGCTGGGCCCCCAGGATGTTTCCTGAGCACCTGCCCAAGGCCCGTCACCACACGATGCTCTGGGCACACCTATCGGGGATTCTGCGGACCTCCAAAAGGCCAGTTCTTTCCTCAAATCCAGGGGTCAAAAACATCTGCAATGCTTTAAATTTGTTTCCAAGGCTGAATAGAACTGATTAAAATAATAAAAGACAGACTGCTGGCAGATTTTGCTGACATGGCTCAATTTATTATGAAAGATAAAAACGAGGCTTCTATTCCCTCTGAGTTCTCCTTCGAGCAAAAATAAGTAGCTGTATTTGACAATGGGCAAGACAGGAGATGTTCTGCATCAGTGCACGCAGACAGCCAAATGTTTAGTTTTAATTTTCTCCACTTTAGAAGCATCCTGTCTCTGCACTTCAAAAATCACAATTATAAAAGTTGTTATAAAGCACATTCCAATTAAATATACTATTACTGTCTTAATTTCTATAACCCACGACCAAACTCCTTTTCACTGAAGTCTGAGAATCCAACATTTAATTAGATCCAGCTTCTCTCCTGTGGAGTCTTAGTTGAGATAAATTATGTAATTTAATGCTTTAGGGGAAATGCTGCACATACCGAAGTGATGACTTCAAGATCCTTCAGATACGTTCTCTCAGTGGTGGATACTTCCTTAGCGATGAAGTACGCTTTGTCCGTTGGGAATCTCTGCGAAGTCCATAAAAAGAATTGAGACATCATTTTCGAGCACAAGACTCTAAGAATATCTTGATTATAAGAAAGTGACACATTGCTAACTTACCATCTTCTGTTAGCTGGTATCAGGTCTAAATAAACCCTTATTTATTCTTTTGTGTGTCAGAGGAACTGTGTATAGTAAGAGAATGGATTTCCGTGATGGCAAAACAGTCTAGGAACATTCCCTTCCATGCAAACATTACCCTCAGTGAAAGGCTCGGATGAGTGTGTTAGCCACCACTGAGGACTATGCATTCAAAACTGGGCATCTGAAAATCTACTTAATTAGTAAAATAGCAGAGTGATGCAGTCTTCAAGGAAATCAATGAAACAGACGCCATAATGGCCGGTGGTGTTGGTGTTCAGGACATAGAAGCCACACTGTTGGTGGGACTACAAGGTTGGCTGGTGTGAAGGGGCAAGGGTGGGGACCGCAGGCGACGCCAGTGCGGCCCAGTCCTCTGGAGTCCGTCCGCCAGGTGGGCAGGTAGCAGCACTAGAGCAAGCTGGGCTTTGGTTTTGCTTTCTCTTTATTTTATTTATCCTTTCAAAGTAATTTGAGAGAGAGAGAGAGGGAGAAACATTGACTTGCTGTTCCACTCACTTATGCATTTATTGGTTGATTCGTGTTTGTGCCCTGACCGGAGACCGAACGTACAACCTTGGTGTATCTGGATGACACTCTAATCAACTGAGCTCCTTGGCTAGGGCCTGCTTTCTTCTTTAAACAGTAAGTAAAAGGAAGTGCCCTGGTGCTGGCCATCTGGCTTGCTTCCCGCAAGGGCCCACCGATCCCACCTCTGAGGGATCGCGAGAGCAGGGAGAGCAGAGACTGGAGGGACACTTGCACCCCCATGTTCCTAGCAGCATTATTTGCAGTAGCTCAAAGGAGGAAACCACCCAGCTGTATCAGCACATGAATGGACAAACACAATGAGGTATATCCACGCACTGGATTATTATTCAACTTTGAAAATGAAGAAAATTGTGACATGTGCTACAACATGGGTGAACCTTAAGGCTATTCTGCTGAGTGAAACAAACCCATCACAAAGGGACAGTACTGAGGAATCCACTTAGATGAGGTTCCTAGAGTAGTGGAATTCATGGAGGCAGAAGGCAGAGCGGTGGTTCCCGGGGCTGGGCGGGAGGAATGGGAGTTACTATTCAATGGGTGCAGACTGACAGCACCGAGTTACGATAATAAAGTTCTGGAAATAAATAGTGATGATGGTTAAACAATGTAAATGCACTTAATGCCACTGCACTGAACCCTTAAAGATGGCTAAATGGCAAATTTTACTTTCTGTATAGTACTATGGCTAAAAAAAAGCATAACACGCTCGCGTGCACGAGTTCCCGCACCTTCCTCCGGCCCTCCTCCTCGTCGTCGGTCCGTGGGCACGGCTGGTCATTCAGCAGCGGGCTGACCAAGGGAGAGGCCTGCTTGGTGTCGGGGCTCAGGTTGGGAGACAAGATCACGTTGGCGGGCACGGCTCCTCCCTGCGAGTTGATGGACAGCTCTGAAAGGTGAGGACTACCAGTCAGGGAGCCTGTTTGGGAATGAGAAGTATTAAAAAAAAAAAAAAAAAAAAAAGTAATTCCTCTGGGGTCTGATTTCTACCTACAATCTTCACCTTTTCAAATCTTTTGAATCTTGACTCCTCTACGGCAAATTCAATACGCTTCATTCTTTTCTAGTTTTTTTTTTTCTACATTGCAGCTGCCTTAATAATAAAGATAGCATAGTATGAGTAATTCCATGGAGCCTCAGTTATGTAATTAATGATAAGGTAGCAAACTCTGCTTAGAGAGTAATTACAATAGTTTAAAAGCATAGTGTATCCCCACACAGACATCTCAAACTACTGCCTTAGCTTCTAAGAATTACTCAAGACAGACACAGTGTCTATATTACAAGGAGGCGTGGGAAATTACTAGAAAATAGAGCTATACTAAGAGGAAACTAAACGACTGAGCACCGAGGACAGACTACATCTTGTAGCAACAGGCCACAGCTACAGAAAGGTAAAGCGGCTACCTCCCCAGTGGACCAAGAACAAAAGCAAGCTGGTTATACCTGGCGGTGTCACTCCATGTCTCTCTCACTGTTTGGGACAGAAACACTAGCATCACATTGACATGCAAAGGTGATCATTTAAAAATGCAAAGCTAGGGATCATTCCATTATCCCAAGACCCCTTTAGGAGTTGAAAAGGGACAGGTCATTAATTATGCCTCTGGAAAGGAAACCATATTAAATAATACAGAAATGCATAATTACCCAGGATGAGTCAGCCAAAGGAGATGATGTGTACATGAAACTCTTTGCCAACAGAATTTTGCAATTATCAATCTTTCAAACCATGGAAGCCAGAGAGGATGTTTCCCACATACCTCTAGCCTAAGTGTTTTTACCCACTGCCGCTCTGCTAGAACTAGCATGAGCGAAAACAAAGTTAACCCAGCCTGCAATCCTGTCTGTTACCATTATGAGGAAACACAGAGTAAATTACTTCTCCATTTTCCAATACACTGTTTCAGCTCGTTGCTACTCCTCACACTATTCAACTATCTCGGAGAAAAAGGTGAAGTGCGTTTTCCAGGTCTAACCCCATTTTTTTTTTTTTTTTTTTTTTTTAACATTTATCCTCTCCCTCTGGATTGTCATATCCATTTTGAAATTATAAGATAGGACAGCCTAGAAAGAAACAGGGTGGTGAATTTGATCCCAGGATGAGTGAACCACGGAGAAACCACCACCAGCCCCCACCCAGTCCCAGGTCAATCACAGGGGTGAAAAGTGACCACACCCAGAAAGACAACAGAAAGCATGCATCCTGCCCATTGACTACTGGTCAGTACAATGATATCTGAAGAACAAGATAACATGTGAGGAAAAGGCAGAATCAGGTAGTTCACATTTAAAAATCCCTCATTTAAATCCTTGCATTTTAATACACAATCACTGAAATGAAGTCCTGGTGTTAGACAAAGACCCAGTCACCCCACACACCACCAGACCCAGTGAGACCCGGAGAAAAAAGTCAGAAATTGCTTCACAAATGTCAATTTTATTGACACCAGTGCAAAACCAAATACAATAATTTTGAAAGAATTGGAACTCGTAAAATAGAAATCGTGACAACAATCAGAACTGCAATTGTTTCAAGATTCTACACTATTCTTTTTTTTTTTTTTTTTAAATCACAAAAAGAAAAATGTTATCACTACAAATAGGAATTAGAAAAGAGAAATTCTGGCAGTCTGTCTGGAGAGAAAAACATTTCATGCATTTGTGAGGTGCTGTTTGAGAGTCACTTCTTATTTGTCCACCGGCATCTGATAGAATTGGGGGGGCTTACCTTCAGCTCTCACAGTGTGTGTGAGATCAGGTGAGGCAGTTTTAAGTGAGAACATGCTGGGCCTGGAATTTGCAGGGGTGTGGAACAGAAAAAGCATTCGCCTCATCAACGAGACATTGGAGCCAAGAACCGAAAGCAGTTAGAAGGCTAGCTTGAAGGAGGAGTGGGGGGGTGGAGGGGGGTGGGGGCGAAACAGTACCAATTAAGCCCTGGACAGCATCCAGCAGCAGATAAAACAAAACAAAGCAAAAAACCCAACTACCACATTGTGAGGGAGAAAATAAGGGTGAACACGCTCACGTACAACCACTTCCACTCTCCCAGGTCAAAAGCTGTTGCCCTGATGCACTCCCTGGGGACACTTCTATTTAGTAGACAGAGCAGGCTAAGAAAATGAGTGAACAGACTAGGGTTCCAGGAGAGATGTCACCCTGCCAGGAAGGTAGGACCCATTTCAAAGAAGACAGCCATCTAGAAGAATCCCCACTGGGCCACATCAGAGACAGGGCTCGGGGTACTGAAAGAAAACTTCACAACAACCCGTATTCCTAGGCAGAGTAGGGGACAGTCCGGGACAAGCCCAGGTTGTTGGGTAAAAGCTGGCTTCATTCATTCAGTAGCCTAAGGATACGTGTAACCACTGACTTGACTTGCACAACGCGTGGCGGTGGAGGGTGACCCAACTGGGTGGCCCGTTTCCACCTCCGGAGCTACTACCTCAACCAGTTTGTCAGGGCCTAAGAAAGGTAGGGCAATGAGTGTATTTAAACTGTTAGATCAATAAATCAGTAACTACCAAGAACCTGTTCTAGAAACCTATCAGCAAGTCTAAGGAAGGGAGGGCCCCAAACTCTGAAGTTCGATTTTGCTCATTCGAGCTGCATCCATGGAGGAGAGCCCCCTTCCCCCTTGCAAGAGAAACTCTAGGCTGTGAAAATATATAGGTGATGTGGTCCAAACAAAAACACGTAACTCATGTACCATTTGGCAATCAAGGAAATAGGATGACTAGGGTCTTCAGTAGAACTTGGCAGCTTAATGAGTAATTAAAATTCTCTTAGGACTTGAAGCCAGTGTGTGATAATGGTCTGGACAAACCGGTGCTCACAAAGAGCCCCCCTTTGGGCAAGAGTGAGGCGCTGAGTCGTAAAGTCAGCATCTAAGGTGACAAATGTTAGAACTACGAGTGACAACTGTTAGAGAACTATGGGTAATCAATTTTCACTGAAGTAGTCCATTTGCTAAAAAAAAGCAAACAAATGTAGTTGTGTTGTGTGATAAAATGAATCTGCTTGACTTACTCAGCCTGTTCAAGCCTCGCAGCCCTCCCCCCCCCCCGCCCGCGGAGGCACAGCCCTGGGCAATGAGAAATGGTGACTGAGATTCTGACATTCATTGCTTCTCAATGAGCTCATTAATGCCTGGGTCCTCTGCCTTTTATTCCCCCGTCACAAAATGACACCAGGAATTTCTTTCAGCAAAGGGTTCTGGGTAGATAATTTGGGGGACCTTTTGAGAAAGCACCTGGGTGTTAAGGCAATAGGTGAACTTTGAAGAGATTAGAAAAAGGTCAGTTACACCTTAACAGTCTGGAAGCCTCTGATTCTTTTTTAAAATTATGTTTTCTATTTCCAGAAATTGCCTGGTCTTTATTTAGGCACTGAGTTATATTTTCAGTTAGTAACTCTTAAATCCTTCACCTCTTCCAGATGGTTTACCCCCCATGTCCTACTCCCTGCCGTTCATCTCTATCAAGAGAGCTGAGTTGATGTCACCCCTCCCAGACTAGAAATGCCTTCACTGATACTGCTCTGGGGGAGGCATTTCTGGCAATTACTTTTAAAAATCCTTTTAAACATACACATTCTCATGGCACAAACAGCAATGGAACTTCAAATTAGCACTGCTATATTTATGGATTTCAATGTATCACCCAGCCCAGAAATTGACTTAGTGTCTCTATCTTTTGAAAGTAAAACACCTCCATAATTCTTCTCTCCTGACTGTTCTGGGGAAGCTGACTTTGCAGCATCACCCAGGATTGCAGCACCTCCTGACCAGGCCTCCACCAGCAGCAAGAAACAGTGGGAGTGGTTTATGATCAGCACACCAACTCCCTGCCTGCATCCCCCCAGTGGGAGCAGGCACAAGCTGCCTGGGTCCCACCAACCACCTCTGGCTGTATCCAAGGCTTCAGAACAAACTCACACAAGTCTGGGAAGAGAGACTTTTCGAATACTTAACTGTACCTATTCAGTGTTTTAAATTGGCCAATAAATTGGTAATCTCCGTTTTTTAAATACATTATTTTTTCCTCTTAAGGGAGGAAACTAGAAAGCCTGACATTTTTTTAAAAAGTAATCCCCCAATTTGTTAAAAAATATTCAAATATTTGAGAGTAAGAATATTGAAAAAAAAATAGATTGCTTTCTCAAGTCCTCTTTTGAAAATTTTAAAAAGTACAATTATTTAAAAAGTATCTATGCTGATTCTTTAATATTCCCTCAAATAAATAACTTTACTTGGCAAGCTTCTAGATTCCACTTATCTATCATGATTTGTCTCCTGTTACTTGGTCCCAAAAATATATGAGATTTTCTCTATATATACCCAGAATATGCTCCAAAGACACCTATACGAAATGTTACAGTATAGGTTTCCATCTATTTTTTGTGTGGGTTTTTTTGCATTTATTTTCAGGAAGAGAGAGAGGGACATTGATGCAAGAGAGACACATGGACTGGCTGCCACCCACACAACCCCAACCGGGGCCGGGGACAAACTGCAACTGACATACGTGCCCTTAGCGGGAACTGAACCCGGGGCCCTCTGGACCTCGGGCTGACGCTCTAACCGCTGAGCCAAACCGGCCAGGGCTCATCTATTTTTAAAAAGGCTCTTTTAAAATCCATAATCTCCCTCTAAAAGAAAACACAATGAACTCTCTCTGGAGATAGTTGGCATTTGAAAGCCAGTTATCAAAAAAGGGTCAGTAATGGGTAGTTTCTAGAACTGGCAGGATTCACTCTAGTCTGATAACTAAACTGGGTTCCACCCCAATGGAATATGTGAAAAACACTGACAAAGTTTATTGACATTATTAAGGTTCCACAAGAAAGACCAGGTTATAGGATTACCCATCATAGCGGTGTCGTCCTCTTCCCAACAACTTATGCAGTTGAGGGTAA